ACTACCACCAACACCAGGTATGGTCTAGTATCAGGGTGATCACATGAGTAGTAGATCCAGCACAAAAGAAAAATAACACAAAAACCACGATTCCCAAACCAAAAGACAAACATCCAGAAACCTTAACAACCAACCAACAAACACAATCAACAACCAAAAAAACAAAAGAACACAACCAATCCAAACAAAACAACACAAAAGCACAACCTCCACACACAAACATACCTCACACAAAAATCACACTCATCCACCAAAACAACCTACCTTTGGGGAGTGCAGTCCAAAGAGACCAACACAAACACCATCCTATGGAGCTAAAAACACACATTCCAAAAAAACCAAGCAAAAACCAACGTACCCAATAAAAAACACACCAACCAAAACCAAACAAAAAATACACCATCCGCACTAAACATCCCTAACCCAACCAAGCAATAACAAAAACCAAAAACAACAACATAAAAATCCAAATAATCCCCCAAAAATAAACCAAAAACGATCCAAACCAACAACAACAACAACCTAACAACACCAAAAAACACATTCCACCAATTCCAAAACAACCAACATCAACATCCAAATAAAGGCCCAGCCAAAAACACCAATCCAACTTAAAAAAAAAACAAAACACCAACAAAACTACAATCCCCAAAAAACAAACCAAAAAGACCGTGTTTTTTGAGAATGATGACACACACATACATAAATTTTATTACTCAAATCAGGTAAGGGCCTGCAAGAAGCCATCATATTGGATCAATCTGGACTTATGCAGAGCTGACAGAGAGAGTCGTTTTTTAGCCAGGAATGAGAAAAGGAGAGAAGATGAGTCAGGAGGAAGTAGAGAGACGGTCGGGTTTTTGCCTTTTATACTAATGCTAACGGATTATTTAATAGAATTGATAAACTAAAATGCATTTTATCAGTTTATAAGTCTATTGATATAATTTGTATTACAGAAACTCATTTTAGTAGTGACATATTAGATGCTGAAATTTTTATTGAAGGTTTTACTATGTTTACAAAGGATAGAGATTTTAAAATTGATAATTCTACTAGTAATATAGGTGGTGGTGGGGGTTCAATTATTTATCTTAAAAACAGTTGTAATGTTTCACTAGGAATACAATACAAAGAATACAAGGAATACAAATTTAAAATCTTAAGCTACAAGATTGTAAATAGTTAATTTGACGAAGGGAATACGTCTATTTTACCCTGAGTTATGTTTTAGTTCAATCTTGACACAATTTTAAAATTATAATTTAATTATTTTATATATATGTATTGTCCATAACTAGGGTGGCCTGCTAACAGAACCATGATCTGCCTTGATTCATCCTTCAGCACAGAGAAAAGCTCCTTTTTTTATACATTATGATTACAGAGGATCTGATATTTAGATATATATTGCTGTGCTGTAAAAATTGACTTTATTTATTTATTTATTTATTTTTACAATAGTAACTGTTAAGATAATAACAATATCATAAGATTTGAATTTATTATATTAATATAACTTAAACTAAAGTGAAAAATAAAGATTTTGACAAAAAATATTTTGTTTACAGTCGCCTTGGTAATGCTGTAATGCTTGAGCCAGGCCACTTTGTGAACTCTTTTTTAAAGGCACCAGACTCTTTAGCTGTAAATATTGAAACATCTGGTGGATTGATAAGTATTTGTTGGATTTATAGATCTACTTCATTAAATTTAGTCTCCTAAATCTCCTAAATTTATAGGAGATTTTAACCTTCCAGATGTACTATGGGAAACTGGAATCACCTTAATAATCCCAAGAAATCCGTGTGTATGTGTGTATGCGGGAAATTTCCGAGCGGTGATATTAAAAAAACGGTAGGTAAGAGTTACGGACTGGTTTTTTTCGGTATAGTGCCAACAAAACTCTGAAGCAGTTAATAAGAAATTTTTTTTAAATCGGCCGGTGGTAAGTGGTTTATTTGATGGTTTTGTACCACTTATGTGACATAAAATGGCTTGAGCAGCATAATCAGGAAAACGGTAAGAGTTACGGGGGCTTGCTCTCTCTGCATATTCAATATGTAGCTGTATAAGTAATAACCATAGCCGGGTAAGATTAGCAGGGTAAGATTCGCTGTCCTTTTATACTATAATCTTATTAGGGGAGGGGGCACTGTTCGCAGGGTCTGTTTAGACTGCAGAGAGAGTTCATACTTTCATAATATGACAATGTTTTGCGTGTTTTCAAATATAATAGGCAGGTGTGGTGAGGAGTTAACAAGGGTTAATTTCTAAAACGATTTAAATAAAAATGGAAAGTGGTTTAAGACAGGAGTGATGAGGTGTAATAGTCAGTGTTCGGACCTTATGATCAATGATCATAAGGTCCGAACACTGACTATCAATTTTGATCATGGAATGTGGTGCCTAATAATGACTTAATTATCCACGAGAAAGATAGTTTAAGATACTATTGGATACGTGAGGGTACTCCGAATAGAATTGCTCACCTAACTGGGTTTTGAATCAGCGGGTAATTACTCATACCCTTTTTAACTGCGGCAGTGCAATCCCGGCTGAAGGCCGGGTTACACTAGTTGTTAATAATAGTATTTCCAGTAAGAATCAGTCTTTAATAATTCAACAAAAATATATGGATATTTTTAATGACAGTGGTTTAACTTTGTACTTTACCAACGAAACAACCAGAAGACGGCTTGTGAAAGATACTCTCCAGGAGAGCCTCCTTGATCAGGTCTTGTATACAAATGATGCTCTTGTCAACGGTTGTAAGATTGTTTCACCGCTTGGTAAGAGTGATCACGTTGGGATACTTGTCGAACTGGTTGTTTCGCCAAATACTGAGTCCTATAGAGAAAACTGTAAAACCTATTTGGGGTAAGATTTCGTCTGATGAATTATTGAAGTTTAGTATGAATAACATTGACTGGGATTATAGTTCTACAAATTATGATGTTCAAGAAATGTGGACTGAACTACATGGTAAACTGGAGGCTGTTGCCGCTGCTGTTCCAGCTGCTTCTGTTTATCTCGACAACAGGCCTGTCAAGTTGCCATGGAGTACAACTTCACTTAAGAGAATGAGGAAGAATAAGGACAAAGTATGGGTTGAGTTTGATGGAAATCCATCTGATATCAATTTTAGTTATGCTAATAGCAAGTAATATATTTTTGAAGTGGCTGAAGTTAAAGATAAAGTTAACTATGAAAAGAAGATTACATCTAATTTGAAGCAGAATAGTAAGTCTTTTTACTCATACTTACGTAATAAAAAGCAAGTTAAATCAAGTGTGGTTTCCTTGGATAGAGGAGATGGTACACGCACAGATAGTTCTGCTGAGTCTGATATTCGAAACTAAGATCATAACTTCATAAATCTGATAATTATTTAATAGCATGGGCGGCAGCAGAAACTTGATTGCTAATATAATACAAAGTTGAAGATGTAATTAGATTGAAGCTTTATCTGATTTATTAAATTAAAAAACATTTTCTTTTCTCAAAACGATGAACTTCACCCCTGTGGGCTGAGATATTCACTGAATTATGGCAAACTGTTGTCCAAAAATCAGCCAGGTGAGGAAAAGGTAGGGAAGTCTTATTGCAAGAAAAAGGAAGTTAACCTCCTGCTCAATTCAGGGAGATAAATCTGCACCATGTATGGGGTAGTTGATGCACCTTTCACCAACAAGAGCCCACTTTGGTCTACTTGCTGTAAGGTGTATAAGCTACATGGATTGGTGGTCCCCCTTTTGTTGCTGATAAATCAGGAAAAGTGTTATTATGAGTGTCAGGAAACTCATAGTGTATTCATATCTGGGAGGCTAAAAGGTCAGTAGCGGAAATGGTCTATGGCTACCAAAATTATTTGAAATCTTTGTACTTTATTGATATTCCATAATACATATCAAGGTTTGCCTGGAATATCCAAACAATGTATGTGATTCATCTAAAACTAAGAATTAGTGTCATTATTCATTCTTGCCTTTCAAGGTGTATCAACCAACATACAAACTGTACGTGTCACTTTGACCCCTTAGTCTTATTGCTTTTATAATTAAGGATGGGGTTAAAATCATCCAGTGTGCTTCTGAAAACGAGCTCCTTCAAGCGACCACTTAACCAATGACCAGTAACCATTGGGGACTACGGTCTGCATTACAATTTCTCAATTTGCGTTAATAGTGAATGGTTCAGTTCCTTTGGTGTTTTGGAAATTGGAGTTCTCTATCATGCTATTGAACAAATTTAATTCCAGCTGTTGGAGAATCTGGAGTTTATCAAATTTGTTAAATGTAGGAAATAGGAATTATGTGTGAATGAAAAGTAAATCAAATTACAATGATGAGAAATAAATATTTGTTATCATAGCGAAAACTACAAATTGATTTACTAAGTTAATCAAGTTAAGAAATCATCAGATAGACAGTAGCTATTACAGTAAATTCAATGAAAGATGAATCATATTTTGTGCCTGATTTCAGATTTGACCAACGGAACCAAATCGAATCTATTGTTTCCTTTATTAAATATATACTGACAGAGGCAGTAAAGTATAACTTTGAATGGGGTATAAAGACTAAAGATGAACAACTTCTTCCAGTTTTGGAGGAGAACTTTATTAAATATCATAATCAATAGTTATTATATTTCAATAAATATAATAATATGTTCCCGAAAGCAAAATCCTCTGATCCTTGTCTCACTGCAAGTTTAACTGTCCAGAAACTGGCGTGTTATATTAAAATCCCTATTTAATAAGGAAAATAATGATGTTATCATATCAAAGAAATGTATTCGACTGTTTTATCACAAAAATGACCTTATCAGTGTTTCTTATCAGATTTTCTGAATTGCGTGGCCACTTTATTTTGTGTAACATTTCATTGCCATGATCTGGTTAAATCGTATTTCAATTGAATGTGTTTTCAATTATCATTCGATTTGTTGGTGTAAGAACTAACAAGTAATATCTTAACATTCCATCTGTTATCAAGGCATGTCCAACAGTGTCAAGACAAAGTCAGACAATGTACTTTATCTCAGCGATGTCGTCTCATCTAAGGAAAACAATCTTGGTAAATGTTCTTTTTAACAAGGGTAATTTCGGTTATTGCATGTTTTTTCGACTCAGATTAAGTTGATTTACTATTACATGTATGATATCGGTCATAACTTCATACTGCTAAGTTAGCTTAGCAAGGACATTACCAAATAAAATGCGTTTCTACTTATTAAACTACTATTTCATAGACAGTGAAATACAACTTTAATTCTGGTAGTTTAGTTCGATATTATCTGTTAGATATTATTTGTTAGATATTACGTGTTAAATAATCAATATCTCCAGGTGTGATAATAGAAATGCCAGACTCTGACTCTGACGAGGATACTGATGACGAGGGGTTGCCTAAAGAAGCTGCCATGGTGTCCTGGTACCCCAGTGGTAAGCGTAATTTTTACTAGTTTTTTATCGATGTTTTGACTCCACTTTTTTAGCATCATTCTTTGCCCGATCTTGAGGTGACGTACGACACCTCGTTGACCCAATCAATTTCCGGAAGGCTGCACATTTTCACATGCCAAATTCACAAGATTCTTCAAGAGTTGTGCGAGATACATAGAGGCCGCAGAATTATGAGGACTACCAGATCCTGGTGGAACCTAAGCGATCTATGATATCACGACAGGCCCTATTCTTTGCCGTCTTTTTTTAAAACTCGAGAACATTACCATGAGTTTTGTAACTTTTCAGTCAGTATGACAGATCATTTACTAAACGCAAGTCAAATTGACATTTTTTCATACCCAGGTGAAGAAGAGATACTATTCCAGAAAGATCTAGCCCTGAAATCACGGGTCTTAGACCCAGGTATGGGAGTAGAGCGGTCAGGTGACTTCAGAAGTGGTGTTCTGCTCGACATTACTGCTAACTGCTCCGTCAAGCTGGTCGGCACTAATGTTAAAGTGTCCAATGTTCCTGGAAATATACTCACTCCTTGGAATGTATGTCCCCTGGTTTTTTTTTCTTTAGAGCGGTTTTTAATCTCGGATATCGCGAACTTTCCTCGTTTGAGAATCAATCAAGCATATCTCTACTATAATTCAAAGAATTGTTTTTGTTGTCTGTCTGTATGTACGACCGCCCACGTGCAAATTAGATGAAAAATAGGAATTTAGGTAACAACCAAAAGGTTCCATAGCAACGGTGTTTTAATGCACACATGCACGTGCAAAGATTGTTTTAACGTCATTTTGATCGGTTTTGTGGTAATTACGTTGTGTTTAAAGTGTTTTATATTTAAATCGGCTGTATCTTCGGTTGGGATGGATATTTTCTGATGCGATTAAAACTGTATTTCAATGAATACTACTAGCTTCGTCCCTGTTACAACGGGCTTTCTAGTTATATATAATAGCATAATATACTTATTTGATTTTAAGAAGATAAGTTAATACATGCTTATTTGAAGCAACTTCTTTTATTTCCCCGGTTACACAAACCTTCTTCAGCTGCACTACCACGAGCCGAATGTAGTGTACGGATCCTGGCTGGGCTACATCCTCCAGCTCCAACAGACCCTGGTAGTTGGTCTGAAGAGTGGTGCACGTGTTCTCATGAAGTTTGACACTGCGCGCCACATGGAGGACAGCAAATTTAGCGAGATATCACCCTACTACAGTGGTACATGGTACGTGGGTCAGAAGCTGGAGGGCAAGGCAAGGTGGTTCAAGCGTGCCACTTTGTTGTCTGGGACTATGCCCGTGTTCAAAACTCTGAAACAGAAAGTCAAGGGAGTCGTCCTGGAGGTAATTGTTTTTTTTTCATGGTTCCATTTGGTAATATATCGGATTTGTGATATAATAAGAATTCACAAATTTAACACTATCCATCCCTTAATCATTCAGTTTGAAGAATATATTGAGAATGTAGTAAAATATCCTTTCCAGGCAATACTGACAGGGATAGAAGTTGAGTGGATAATGCATGGTTTCATGAACACTAAGAAACAGCCTGACCCTCCTCCTTCACTCATTACTGGAGAACACATGCTCAGCAAGTTAGTTTTATTATCTCGTTTTTTTCAGATTTTTCAAAACGAATCTAGCCCCGAAAGTCTCAATATCTAAAGTTGTTTACGAAGATGCAATCTTGTTTACTTAAATTTTAAGTGTATAATTTATTTGATATTAATAAGTTTTAACCATGGTTCACATTTATCGAGGAAATGATTTTAAAATGAAATTTAACAAACGGAGATTTGATTCACGCACGCAAGAGAATTTGACTAATAAAAGTAATCGAAGAAAATTACATTATTCATATTAAATGAGTACAGTAAGCTCATTCCTAAAGTCCTCTTTCCCTCCTAAGTAATATTTTATGCTCGGTACTCCAGACTCCAAAGGTTTTAGGCCACTGTCTTAAGTGGAAGAACGTTATTCGCGTACTGTCCTCCGTAGTTACCAGGAGGTTCGTAGTTGCAACAGACCCAGGTTTCAGAGTCTTTTGTTGAGATACCGCATCCCACCTTTTTGGAGCTCTCCCAGACAACCTGAGTATAAACAATAAACATTAGAGCGTGTCAGTTTGCATAGTGTGAAATAGTCATTCATCCTTTTATGATTTTATGTTTTTTACGTTTCAATCATTACGTAACAGAATGCTTTTTAACGGAATTCCTTATCTTTTAACTTAAAGAAACCCATCAAACCTGTGTGAAGTGGCCTGTTGTCATGGAGAATCCTGGTTTAGCGTAATCGTAGTCCGAGATCTCATTGTACCAACTATCCACCGCTCTTGTTGCAGCTCCGTCAGAACTGGTACCCCAGGACTTGTACAAGTTCTCTCCATACCCACTCCCTTGACTGTGCTCGAGCAAGTTGTTGTCCCGGAGGTAGTCGCACCATTTCTGAGCGACCGTTGCTATATCAGCATCCCATCCCAACTTTCTAGTACCGTGCAGCTTACGTTTAGTTTTGTGGGCTTTGACAAATTGTTGTTTAGGACTTTTGGACTTGGCCCCCATGGCCCCACAAGCCAGGAGTACAAACAGAGCGACACACAAAAACTTCATCCTAACAAATAAAGTCTACCGAATAAATTTTACCGAATAATTAGACTGCCTTATATATAATGAAACCAGCACCCGGTCAAGATATTGAGACGTGGATATAAGAGGAGTAAATATAAGAGCTGAATAAAAAGGGGGAAAAATAACTTCAACTACATGTTGACAAAACAAGCTAGGACTGGCCGGAACTTTTGTCTATTTAACTTGTTTACGTCTCGTTTAACCTTAGTCGCATCATTGTTATGTTTAGACTTTATAAAGTAAAGACAAAGCTACAGTTGACCCCCACTCTCTCAGCCAGTATATTACTCAGATATTTATCATTTTAACTGAGCCACAAACAATGCAACGACGAACAAAAACTTTGATAATTTATGCGCATTGTTAAAATTCTTAACTTTGTTATAATTCTCCATATTGTTAAACATTAAACAAGTTTCTTAATATTTGCTTTTCGAAGGAACTATTTAACTTTGAAGTTTGAGAGTGAAAAAAGTTAAGTTTTCTAATAGAAAAAATAATTGGTTGAAACTTCTAAATCCTCCAGCGTCTGAGCATCAGCACGGGTTTGAAAACACCCTTTCAAAGTGATCTATTGTAGGTGCACCAATTACCATGTAACATACACAATAAATTGTTAGTTCATAGCGAAATAAAATGTAACACACGATGTAAAAAAATTTAACGCACAGTGTAACACACGGTGTAACACACGGTGTAACAGACAGCGTAACAAAATGTAACACACAATGTAACACACAGTGTAACACATCGTAACCCCAGGATACGTGTATTTGAGAGGTACCAACAGAGGTTCCTAACAATAGGATTACCGGCTCTTCTGAAGATTCCTCCCAAGTACAACATTCAGGTCAGTTTACACTGTAGACCAGGGGACAATATCTTGGATACTCAAACTTCCAGAGTCGTGGGGTTTTGTTATAAATTCGTTCGGGAAATATTTGTCCAGCGTATGCTAGCGTTATTATGACAACATAAGAGGGCCCCTGATACATATAATAACGAAATATCCACAATATGAGTAACTCAGTAACCATGACGTTCAGGCGCTACTTAAGGAGCTAGAAAGTACTGGAGGGAGGTTACCAGACCTGGTAGTAACGGGGATTAAGGAGACTCCTATACACCAGTGCATGCAACAAGAACCACCCGTGAAACTATCAGACAACAGTAAGTACTGCGAACATAGGAATCAGTTTTAGATTTAAAAGGTAGATTTTAAAGATACTCCTTACTCCGTGGTAATTATCATCATTTTAACCAGTGAAAGTGTAGAAATAAATTGGATTATGTGAGTATTGAGTTATTATGCAATATTATAATCACGCTCCATTTCTACAGATGTGTCAGAGGAGAAGAACTCGCCCTCTTCTCTGGAGAGTTCCTCAAACCTCATGTACGAAACAAGAATAGACGAGAAGACCAGCGCGGAGGTTGCCAAGGTGAGATAATATAGCGTTGATAATTAATATCATAATTGTGGGCTGTACTTGTCCTTGTTCGAAAACATATTAATATTAATTATCAAGGTGAGATAATCTCACCATGAGAATTAATATTATAATTAGGAGCTGTCCTTGTTCAAAAACATTAAACATCATAGTTCAAGGCAAAACTAAACAAATATATTCAAATTAAGGTGGAGAAGCAGCTGGAGTTAGAGACAGGTTGTGAGGAGACAGGACCTGATAGTCTCTCAACTGAGACAGAGGAGACACAGGATGAGAACAGCAAACAGTCTGGCATATTTGATAAACTTGCTAGAGTGGGCGATGTCTCAGGTAAATAGCTGATGTGACACCTGTTCTCTATCGTAATTATTCTAGCTTTTCGTTAAGAATTAAAACAAGTCCTTCATATTATGAAGCCAGGGTGTGGACTGGCTAGACCTGGTTACCGCACTTCCGTCCCATTATACAATACTCAATAAATGTAATAGATTTGTAGTGTTGTAATTAGTTTAAAATATAATATTAATGGTTGAAACGGTTGGGCTGAATAAGCTCAAAATTACGCTCAATTTTCATATAAATACCATCGCCCTTCTACACTCTGCAGACCCGATATTTTGTATTAACAACCTCTGTACGTCATGTTATTTGACGTTAAATAGACAGGGTTAGCCAGGGTTAACACGCTGTCAGAAATCAAATCAGAAGAAGCGACATCTTTTAATCTTAAGGCACTTTCCAGGGGATAATCATGTTGACATTACGACTTACGTGTATGATACTTAACTGTATGATACTTAACTGTATGATACTTAACTGTATGATACTTAACTGTATGATACTTAACTGTATGATACTTAACTGTATGATACTTAACTGTATGATACTTAACTGTATGATACTTAACTGTATGATACTTAACTGTATGATACTTAACTGGCTTAATCTGAATTAAAATTATCAGCTACTTACTTTTCCAGGAGACACTGATTCAGAGGATGAGAGTGAGGCCGAGGAGGAAGAGGAGGATCCTGACATCAACAACTCTTGTGAGTTTTATTTAGTTTTTTTGGTTAGATTTGTTATTTCATGCTATCTTTTTGGTAAAGTAGAGGAAGAACATTTTGTAATTTCAATAAGAAATACTGTATACAATAGGAAATACAAAAGGAAATACTGTACGTAGTGTGTCCGTATTCATACGAACACATTCATGAATGATATGACACCCATTTTATTTTGGATAAATCTATTCATTTTGATGTATTTATGTTATCATAGAATTCCAAGGTGAGTATTTGACCAATTTATAATTCAACAAGTTAAATGTCTCGCCAAAGCAGTTTACGTCAAGTTTAAAATAATAATGCTATTATAATTTAAAAGCCTAAAGTCTGCTGCTTCAATTTGTTCGCAAGTTAAGAGTCTAAAGAGAAATTCTCCAAGAGAAATCAAGTTCAAATGCGACTCATAAATATAGCCCCCTTGAACAATTTAAAACATTGTTGTGAATAAATGTGAAACAAAGTATGCACGTTCTGCAGAATACTCGATAAGTAACATAACATTCACACGCTTGTGAAATTAATTTCAAAACAAAATTATACATAATCTAAAGAGCTGACAGGGCAGACCCGGTCAAAATCTCAACAGCAAAGGTTTGATCCTCCAGGTTGAACGACTCGTGCCCAGGATTTCTTGTAAAAGACACGTGATCAACCTTCCACCAAAGGAAGGAACATCATGTTTTCCATACGACGCGGACACATCAATACAGTGATGTTGAGTCTTCAAGATTCCAAAATAAAACAAATCCTTGACAAACTTCTGCAGCCTGCTCAGTCTGATAAAGTAAACCGCGGGATTAGCGACACAGGTAAAAGAGTAAGCGAACAGAAGAGCAATGTTCTCCACCCACGGAGATACAGTTCCACCCCTGATCCTGACTATCCGCTCCACCACCAGGGTTGACGACGACATCAGACAGATTATTGTTAGGATGATGACCGTGACTGTGGCGTGACGTTTTGTTTTTGACATGGGGAAGTCTTGTGAAGGTTTGTTGAGCCACGCGATTGTCAGGATACACCCGAGGACTGAGGGAGTTAATATGAGGGATATTATAGCAACACTGACCGAGGAGAAGTCCGCTAGGTCTCCAGTCTGAACGTCTTTCCAGCCACAGCGGAGCACCTCTCTACGGTAGGAAACTTTGAGAGTCTGATCTCTGAACAGAGTTACCACTCGGACCACTAACAGAACAAAGAGGATGAAGATACAACTAAATGTAACTTTCCTCCGGATCTTATAGATGGGTTTCACAACTGATATAGTCCGGACCAGACAGAGAACAGCTGTTATCAGGATAGAGAACTGCTGAGCAGTGGGCACGACAGCCAGCATCACTGAACAGTACCCAGTAGAGTCTATAAAGTCTCCTCCACTTAACAGAGAAACGTAGGACACCCCCAGGAAGATGAAACATAAGGAGATGAACAGATCTGTGGAGTTGAGGAGGATGAAGATGTACCTGCTGATGTTGTCTGATTTGTCGACTGTTACGAAGAATGCGAGGGAGATGGAGTTGGCTGGTATTCCGATCAAGCTGTATGTTACGGAGAGGAACGTGTAGAGGATCGCTTGGGAACGATCAAATTCCATCTTGTGCGGGGTTACATTCACTGGCTGTGCTGGGAGGAGAGCTTGGTAAATCGTTCAAATAATCGTTATAAAATCATCCAACTATATAATAAACCATACGCTGTTTGGATTTTGGCACAAGATAAGAAGGTGTTCAAACAAGTTGGTTCAGGAAACGATGAACGATATACCTTAATGAATATATATCATAGCATGCATTGCATTTAAACTAATGCTGCATTAAAAGAGACGCTACGTTTTAACTAACGAATAAAATGAATTTTCGTCTCTAAATGAAAAGTACAAATCCCCCACTGAGTGCTGATTACTCTGAATACAGAGAAGAACAGCTTTGTGGGGTCGGCAGATTAATATGAAAATAGTATCCCCTGCTCTTTCGAGGAGAACATTAGTCGCATTCCAGTGTTCTCACTACATAAAACAATAGCTCAGATGAATTATTATCGAATTAGACTGAAAGGCATGACGGTTTAACACAGTTCTCTTCTCTGAAGGCCAGGTTGATAATAATATACAGTAGTAGCTAACCTGGTGACAGGTGGGTCTCAGGGGGTATTGGACGACATTAACATAAACTTAAAAACTCCTTTTGTTGAAACCCATCCAAGTGTGTTTCACTGGAGTCTGGAACTTACAAGGTTGCTAATGTTATTAACTATAGAATAGGGGGACAACACAAGAGGAATTGCGGAAGGTAACTAACTATTGTAAATGTGGAATTTTCTTTGCGTGGTTCAAAGCACCGAGTATCAAGTACCACTGATGAGAAGGAGTGGAAATTATTTGTCCAGAATTAGAGGCACAGCTGTAATGTAGTTTATGAAGGAGCAGTAACGTAGTTAGGGGTATGGATAATGTGATATGAAATACGACATACGTGTTCTAGATGATAAAAATGTCCTGTGGATAGTACCGAATGAATGTGCGTCATCATACTTCTACAGTGAAACAATGAGAACTTAAGAACCTTGCTGTAAATTAAGTGATGATTGATGCCCTGTAATTTCCAATAGTTTCTCGTCTCAAACTTAAGGTATTCATTAGCCCCTGTTCCAATTGCTGAGCTCGCTAAAAAGTAAAAATAAGTTCTATTTGATTCAGTGTACTTCGCTTTTTATCCTCCCTGACTTAAAAACAAAAAAACCGATCATAATGCTGCGCCGATAATTTGTGCACGTGTTCAGGATTTCTTTTGATATTATTATTACTATCTAAATTTACACAAATCTGAAGTAGTTAACAATAACCATCCTAAAGATCTGATCATATGTCTACAACGAAGACCGATATAACATATTAAATGGCAACAACTTAAATACTAAAACATACAAATTCTTTATCATGATAATGCGACTCCAATAATATTTGCACGTGCGCGTTAGAACACCCTTACTTTGTAATTAAATATTTCTCAATCAATTAGCACGTTCGATCACAGACCACAGATCGGACATATTATCTAAATTATTACAGAGATACTAGCAGACTTGTTTGGTTAGCATGCGCTTGATGAAGGACACAGTTAGTCTGGATATTATGTGGCCAAGATCATGTACGACTTTGTAAAAGTCATGGTAGCCCGACTGCTCTAATCTTCCTATTTAGTCGCAACTGCCCTTTCTATATACTGTATATATATCTGTTAGAGCTTTCGCTGACGTTGAGGTGGAAAAAACAAGCCAATATCGAGTTTTGTAGCCACAATTGCCCCGGAATAAAACAGTAAAGGATCACAAGATAGTTAAGTGTCATCAAACAAATGATACGACGTATTCCAGGGTGATCTGCTGAAGACTCAACTAGTTTCGGCCTTTGAGGGCCATCCACAGGAGTGTCACCTAGCAGAAGTCAAAAATTTAATAAACTGATATCAGAAGAATATGTCATATTAGTAAACATACGGTTAATTAATCTGAAAATCCATTGTAAAGTTACAAACTCATGGGGCAGAAAAAGAAACAAAGAGTAAACTCGGTGTACAAAAGTGAGAGCTAGGAAGCGGAAAATATAGCCGTACACCCAGTGATAGAACGTGAGGTGTGACCTGAACCAAAGATAACATTAATTGCCACTGACCTTGCTCCTATTTAAACCAATTATCCTGGCTTTAAATCTCTCGATAAACATATCCTCAAACATGTTCAGGTCATCTCTATTGCATTTACGGATAATCCCAAAGTTAAAACTAGAAAGTTTATCATCTAACATTTCATAATGCACATCGTGAATGTGCAGAGCTAATGATGACTTATTATAATGTTCTGGTTTGAAAGCTGCTCTGTGGTTATTCATGCGTATATTGAGGGGTAGCCATGTCTGGCCAAAATAGAAGCCGCTTGAACATAACTTACATTGAGCTACGTATATAACATTCCCATCACTACAATTTAAACTCATATCTAGTTCACATATCTGATTGTTAACAATAAATTTCCCATCAGCGTTGTTTTCCGTGAGTTTGCAAGTCAGGCATCTTGGTCTTTTACATGCTTGTGATGAGGTGTTGTTGTCTCTTCTAGACTGTTCCACGTATTCTGCTGGTGTAGTGGCGAATTTTCTTCGTTTGAAGAGTTGGTCACTTATGTTACTGCCTCTTCTATTTGCGATAGTGATGGATACGTTCTCACCAATTATGTGTTCGATGGTCTGTTTCTTAGATTCTAGGAACATTCTGAGGTCTTTTAGTTCTTTGCAGTATTGGGCAGATAGTATCAAATTAGTAGAGGTTTCCTCCTTTTTCTCTACATCCGTTTTCTTAGGTTTCAGACGTTCATTCCTATCTACCAAATTCACCTTTTCTAGGACAATCTTAAGTTCCTGCTCATCATAGCCACTTTTCTTCAGGTCCGAAATTATGTCTTTAGCTGCTTTATCAAATGCGTTCTCGTCTGAGCATATGGTTCTTGCTGAACATGTTTGAGGATATGTTTATCGAGAGATTTAAAGCCAGGATAATTGGTTTAAATAGGAGCAAGGTCAGTGGCAATTAATGTTATCTTTGGTTCAGGTCACACCTCACGTTCTATCACTGGGTGTACGGCTATATTTTCCGCTTCCTAGCTCTCACTTTTGTACACCGAGTTTACTCTTTGTTTCTTTTTCTGCCCCATGAGTTTGTAACTTTACAATGGATTTTCAGATTAATTAACCGTATGTTTACTAATATGACATATTCTTCTGATATCAGTTTATTAAATTATTGACTTCTGCTAGGTGACACTCCTGTGGATGGCCCTCAAAGGCCGAAACTAGTTGAGTCTTCAGCAGATCACCCTGGAATACGTCGTATCATTTGTTTGATGACACTTAACTATCTTGTGATCCTTTACTGTTTTATTCCGGGGCAATTGTGGCTACAAAACTCGATATTGGCTTGTTTTTTCCACCT